AATAAGTGACAATACAGCTCATGTCATGATCAGGAAATAACAGTTTTAATTTGGAGAGAGCAAACTAACTGGAATATGTATGATGTGTGTACACTGAAAAAGAACAAGTAAAAAGTCAAACGTCACCTCCCATTTGAATCTCGGCCATGCCGGGGAGACGGTCACTCAGGCCGCTAGTACATTCAGCGGTTAGCCTTCTCATCATAGCTGTTGTCAGTGGACCTCGTTTCCAGCTTCTGGCGTTTCGGAGCATAGAAATCACTGTGGTCACCAAGGAAGTTAATGATTATCGTTCCTCCATATATAGGAGCAGAGAAAATGGAATTGACAAAGTCGCACCGAGTTTGCTTGGATTGTGCGGAGGTCACAACATTGGCGGAATGAGTTGTGCTTTCGAGTGAGTGAGTATGGTTTTACGCCGCTTTTAGCAATATTCCAGCAATATCACGGCGGGGGACACCAGAAATGGGCTTCACACATTGTAAGATGTGTTTTCGGGAAGGGCAAGGTCACCGCGAGTGTTGGAGCAGATCATGTTACTAATGTCACGATGTTGAACGCTGGAGATACAGTGAACTACGGTTATACCGAACACGCTTATAACGAACTGGTGGATATAACGAACTGGTTTTTAGGTCCCTGCCATTTGCTGTATCTCTGCTGTATATATGCTTATAACGAATTACGGTTATAACGAACTAGAATTTGTGGTCCCTTTGAGTTCGCTATAACCGTAGTTTACTGTACTGCTGTAGGTGTTCACACTTTGGGTGTTTTTGTGACCGGAAATTTGCATAACTTCAGTGCCCGGTACACCAATCTCACGGAGTGATTGAATCATGGTTTTCCTGGCCGAGTGATTTGTGACACGTTTTCAAGTGATTCCCGCTGAATTGGCTATTCTTTACACAAGTGAGCCAAGTTTATTTTTTTCAACTGGTCCACGTTTAAACCAAGGATGGTTAGGGGCAGGTGCTAATTTCGAGTTCGTGGTCAAACAGAACGGAGTATCTGGTGAACAAAAATCTACCGGGCGCAAACTACATTCCCCACCTCATCAAGTGATGAGGTTTTACACTTCGGAGACCAAGGGTCTTGTGTTATTCCACCATAGTGTGTTGAGAATGGAATCTGGATTATTAGGACCCAATTCGTTGGCATTGAAAATCCTGTTAATTTCACCATTGGATAGAATTTCGGCCCTATTTGGTAAGTGTCCTCGCCCTTCTCTTTTCAGAACTTGTTGCTTGGTTGAGCGAATTTCGCTAAGCTTTGAAAACTCACGATCCTGCGACAAGGACTTTTTAGAACCCCTTGATTTAGAAATATGTCATGCTTGACAGCTTGGGTGTCAAAGAGCTGGGTTCATAGTCCTGGCCGTTAGATATCTTTGTCAAGTTGGAAAAGCTACACAATACATCGCATAGTTCATTTTGGGGTATGGTTTCAACCGGTCTAATATCAGCGTTGGCGTTCATGAATTTCTACAAAATACTTATGTCATATTGAATTTTCCCCAGGTATTTTGATTTTGAGTTTCATGTATGAAATGGTCGATGTTTGAACAGTCATAATGATACACATTGTCACCTGGTAATCATAAAAAGGTCATCCTTAAATAATTCCTCATAGACACATTCTGGAACAGTGTCAAATGGGTTCAAAACTGATGTAGGGGCCGACGATACAGCCTCGGTGACCAAAGTAAGTCTTTGCCGTCCTACTTGCCTCATTTCAACATTTAGAGTGACATTGTAGGCGTTAAATGTTCCAAGTGGCTAAACAATAGATAGCACCCGTCCTCTGAACTTCTCCGTCAGTTAACGCGAAAAGTGGTAGCCATATGCATCTTTCGATCTACACTAATATTTTAGCAGACGATCGTGCGGTAGATGTTGGTTTCGTGTAGTATATTTGTTACCAAATGCAAAATGTTTCAAATTAGCCAAACAAAACACCATTTATCAGGGCTAGAAACTAACAGTTTTTGTCCACTAGTCCTTATAATGACAACATATAGCAAAACCCTTAAAATGGGACAATTTCTACTAGTCCTTAGGATACTTTTACTATTGGGCAGTTTTGTAAGGACTACAGGACTTGTGCCAATTTCTTACGCTGCATTTATTGTCATGACATGTATTCAAATTGATTGTGATTGTTTGTAAATGTCTCGAGAGTCCTATAGTTCTGCTTCGTAGTAGAAATAGTAGTAAAGATTTATAAAAGTGAATGACGTCTCGTGATTGTTAATAAATGAAAAAAGTAGTTCCGTTGTAATCAAAACGAATAAAATGAGGTCAACATTGTACGACACATGTGTTACGTACGAATTTAGTACACTCTCCTTCTCAGAGTTCCATGCGACCAGTATAGTACCTCTGCCACAGGCCAGCGTCATGTGACGATTCGTCACATCTTACACAGTCCATTCAAGATATTGCATATGTTTTTCATCTGTTTCATTTTTTGACAAGTCTACATATCTATATAAACATATGCGCCCTCAAATACCTGTATTAGTCCCTTCTATTCTGATTTCTGAAAAAGTGCGTTTGTTTACAAACAAGAGAAAAGTCCGGTCACGTGATATGCAAATGAACCTGTGGCAGTGGTGTTATGCTAAATCACCGCTGCGCCGGAGTGTGGATTTAGTATCTCACCACCTGTAGCCTCATCACGTGGGTAATAAGATGCCATATTACTCATTGTTGAGAAAACGTTATGATGTCATCAATTGTTCAAAGTGAGTGAGTGAATGAGTGAGTATGGTTTTACGCCGCTTTTAGCAATATTCCAGCAATATCACGGCGGGGGACACCAGAAATGGGCTTCACACATTGTACCCATGTCGGGAATCGAACCCGGGTCTTCGGCGTGACGAGCGAACGCTTTAACCACTAGGCTACCCGACCGCCCCCAATTTTTCACAAGAAAACATTTGACGTGTTAAGTCAACACGGCGGGAAACTATTTGTTAATCAGATTAAATTTACAATAATTAAATTTTCGTTGTTTTCACTGAATCTTTTGCATTCCGATTAGCTGAATTGGTCACCTGTTATTGCATTCATTTCCAAATAAATGTAAAAAATAAAGCCACGCCCACCGAGGCGGACTACTTATATTACTACGGAATTCCGGGGAATCCCAATATTACCTTCCTGCTCACGTGTATCGTCATGCACAGGACATTTAGCGAAACCCATTCATATTCATTGTCCAAACAACCCTTTGAGACCGAAGGCCGAAAGTATCCTTAACAGGCTCTTCGGAGCAGTTAACGGAAACTAGCCTTAACAGGGTTTTCAGGACCTTCTGTGTAATCTAGCCTTAACAGGTTCTTCAGGGTAGCCCATGGAAACTATCCTAAACAGGTTTAAGAGCAGTCAACGGAAACTAGCCTTAACAGGGTTTTCAGGACCTTCTGTGGAATCTAGCCTTAACAGGTTCTTCGGGGTAGCCCATGGAAACTATCCTAAACAGGTTTAAGAGCAGTCAACGGAAACTAGCCTTAACAGGGTTTTCAGGACCTTCTGTGGAATCTAGCCTTAACAGGTTCTTCGGGGTAGCCCATGGAAACTATCCTAAACAGGTTTAAGAGCAGTCAACGGAAACTGGCCTTAACAGGGTTTTCAGGACCTTCTGTGGAATCTAGCCTAAACAGGTTCTTCAGGGTAGCCCATGGAAACTATCCTAAACAGGTTTCAGAGCAGTCAACGGAAACTAGCCTTAACGGGGTTTTCAGGACCTTCTGTGGAATCTAGCCTAAACATGTTCTTCGGGGTAGCCCATGGAAACTATCCTAAACAGGTTTAAGAGCAGTCAACGGAAACTGGCCTTAACGGGGTTTTCAGGACCTTCTGTGGAATCTAGCCTAAACAGGTTCTTCGGGGTAGCCCATGGAAACTATCCTAAACAGGTTTAAGAGCAGTCAACGGAAACTAGCCTTAACAGGGTTTTCAGGACCTTCTGTGGAATCTAGCCTTAACAGGTTCTTCGGGGTAGCCCATGGAAACTATCCTAAACAGGTTTAAGAGCAGTCAACGGAAACTGGCCTTAACAGGGTTTTCAGGACCTTCTGTGGAATCTAGCCTAAACAGGTTCTTCAGGGTAGCCCATGGAAACTATCCTAAACAGGTTTCAGAGCAGTCAACGGAAACTAGCCTTAACGGGGTTTTCAGGACCTTCTGTGGAATCTAGCCTAAACATGTTCTTCGGGGTAGCCCATGGAAACTATCCTAAACAGGTTTAAGAGCAGTCAACGGAAACTAGCCTTAACGGGGTTTTAAGGACCTTCTGTGGAATCTAGCCTAAACAGGTTCTTCAGGGTAGCCCATGGAAACTATCCTAAACAGGTTTAAGAGCAGTCAACGGAAACTAGCCTTAACAGGGTTTTTCAGGACCTTCTGTGGAATCTAGCCTAAACAGGTTCTTCAGGGTAGCCCATGGAAACTATCCTAAACAGGTTTAAGAGCAGTCAACGGAAACTAGCCTTAACAGGGTTTTCAGGACCTTCTGTGGAATCTAGCCTAAACATGTTCTTCGGGGTAGCCCATGGAAACTATCCTAAACAGGTTTAAGAGCAGTCAACGGAAACTGGCCTTAACGGGGTTTTCAGGACCTTCTGTGGAATCTAGCCTAAACAGGTTCTTCGGGGTAGCCCATGGAAACTATCCTAAACAGGTTTAAGAGCAGTCAACGGAAACTAGCCTTAACAGGGTTTTCAGGACCTTCTGTGGAATCTAGCCTAAACAGGTTCTTCAGGGTAGCCCATGGAAACTATCCTAAACAGGTTTAAGAGCAGTCAACGGAAACTGGCCTAAACAGGGTCTTCGGGTCAGTCGTTTTGTTATGTTACATCAGATATCAGTGAAATCAGAGTATATAATTTGAAAGCGACCATGAGTAATACCCTGGGTCTTTAGTGTTCCAAACGAACGCTTTTACCACTAGGCTACATCGACGCCCTTAGAAACAAGCAGAACACATTCCAGTAGTTAAAGCACGAATTAATTTATTGAACTTTAACACGCAAGTTAGAAACTTGAAAGAAGATTGACAAGGGGAAGACGAACGTTGACTGCAGCTCTTAGTTCTTCAAAAGACAAGACAGAAGCGACACGTCTTCGTCTGGAAATGCTTCCTGAAAGTGAATCAAGATAATCAACTAAAGACATCGTCGCTTCAAATACACTGTCGTATTAAATATTCAAGGAAAAAATATAATGAAACACATTTCACGAGGAGGATAATTTAAAAAAATGTTTTCGACCTAAATGTATATAAATTATATATTATATGATTACAGAAATACAAAGAGGTATAGAGTGAGGGTAATGGATGGATAATAAAAAAGGGAGGTCTATCATGACCATCAACAGAAGATACTGTCGGTGTACTGTTACCGTGCAAACAACCAGAAGGGGGAAGGGGTGTGTAGTCCAAAACCACGAACGTTTGAAATGACTTGATAAATAATAGGTCGAGCACCCTTGATTGGTCAAATATTCGTTTTTAAAGCGTGGCATGGTTCGAATCAATCTCCCAATGACAACTTGTGGGAGTCTTGTCCACTCCTCTTGTTCGGCTGACGTAGTGGGTAGCCTTTGACGTTAGCGTCAGGTCTCTCGATCATGTCCCAGAGGTGCTCTGAGGGGAAAAGGTGAGGACTCATGGCTGGCCATATGATGGCTAGTGATGTTTTGCTGCTGGATGTAAACAGTTACGACACGTGCACAGTAGACACGCGCGTAAATATTGAAAGACAAAACGTTGACAAGCATGGCGCGCAAACGGCACACAAATATTAGCGCCAGTATGTTGTACTTTCCAGTGACCCTTACATGGATAAAATGCAGTGGCGTTTTGGCAGTCATAGTGATCTCACCCCATATCATTACAGACCTACCCCAAAATATGTCATGTTGGCTCAGTTGACCTTCACATAACGTGCATTAGGATGCATCCATACCAGTCCTTGCCTATCCCAAATATTCAGAATGAATCTGGACTCATCTAAGAACCTTACACGAGACCATTGGCGATTACCCCAGATTCTACGTTCTAACGGTAGTACAACACACGGTCGCCGAGCGCACAAATTTCAAATAGTCTGGTCTTGAACTTGAACTCCGGTTGCCTAGCGCAAGTGAACAGCGATTGACTCAGGTCAAAGTCGAAGGTGTCGCAAGTCGCAAGTCTTTGTGGTCCTTGGTAGGTAGGCTGGTTGATTTGTTGTTTAACGCCGCACGCAGCAATATTCCAGCCATATGACGGCGGTCTGTAAATAATCGAGTCTGAACCAGACAATCCAGTGAATTTATATCATGAGCATCGATCCACGCAATTGGGATCAATGACATGCATCAACCAAGTCAGCGAGTGTGACCACCCGATCCCGTTAGTCGCCTCTTACGACAAGCATAGTCGCCTGTTACAGCAAGCATGGGTTGCTGAAGACCTATTCTACCTCGCATCTTCACGGGTATTGTGGTGAGGTGAGGTGAAATGGGGTTTAACGTCGCGTCGAAGATTATTGCACTTATATAGCGACGTGCATGCACGTGTATATGTGTGTGTGTGCGTGTGTGTGGCTGCTTGTACCAGTCCGGACTGATGCCGGTTTATAGTGCTAGCTCACTGAGATACCATGTCGCAGTTTCGCAGTGAATACCCCACTCAGACGCAGTATTCTACCCCGGATCTTCACGGTCTGTACGATCCACGCCGTCGGGGTACATTGACATGCCACAGAGGTGAGGTGAGGTGAAATTGGTTTTAACGTTGCGTCCAAGATTATTGCACTTATATAGCGACGTGCATGCACGTGTATGTGTGTGTGTAGCTGCTTGTACTAGTCCGGACTGATGCCGATTTATAGTGCTAGCTCACTGAGATACCATGCCGCAGTTTTACATGAATACCCCATTTAGACACAGTATACTGACTCCGAGCCGACCAGTCCTTGTTTTAGCCCCTTAATGTCGAGCGCCAGACAGGGTAACAACAAGTACAATCTTTTAACGTCTTTTTGTATGACGCGGCCGGGGATCGAACCCCGGACCTTCCGCTCTCCGGGCGGACGCTCTACCACTAGACAACGGAGGCGGTCGACATGCCACAGAGCTTGACCACCCATTAAGTCGCCTCTTACAACCAGCAGAGTTTGATAGGTACCAGTTCTGACCCGGAATATCCGTGGCTACATATAAAATAAACCCTAGGGATGTCAGCTTTGTTTGTTTATCATGATAGTAATTTGAACTACCCATACGATTTCACAAATGAAGTCTTATTTCTAATTAACTGAATAGAAATTTGCAGAGTGAACTTTATAAAGAACGTATATTTTGACAAGTCAAAGCCAAATCAGTCATGACGTAGCCAATTACCTGCCTGAAAATACTGGAACTTTGTTTTGTGTACTTTGGTCAAACTGGTAAAATATATTGCCTTAGTTGACAAGAATCGATGTTAGACTAAAAAAAAAACAATTAAAAAGCTGTGAGGTAATTAAATAAATGATTAAATCCGGTAGCTGTCTCTTCCTATACAACAACTTGTGATATAAGAAATGCAGTTTTTACACGCCGCAACAACATTCGTGATAAATCAGAAGCATTGTCAGCATTAGAAAGAAATAGATTAGTTTAACAAATTTAACACATCAAATGATTATGAGTATTTATATACTAGTACATTCTCTCACGAGCTGGATGGAATGAAGATTAAAGGAATGCCTACTTAATCGTTACCGACTTCTTAATCCATGTTGACAATGTGTTTGGAGGGTCAACAAAGTCTTTGGCAATTTGTGATTTAGTTGTATAACACTGCTCAGCTGTGGCCACTGCTTCATGCTTAATCTCAATCGATTTTACTGTTATTTTATGTTTTTCGGGTGTAGGAACAGCTGGTCCAGTTATCTTCCCGGAGATACCAGGCCCTTCACGAGACTGCTGTCATGTTGCTAACCGCACCGATTCATTTCGGTATCTATCCGCTATTTTATAACACAAGTGAAACAAATAAATGTTTAGCCTTGTAAACTAAAGTGTGATGATAGATGAGTCGTGCCGATATCGTCTTATCAGAGTAAATCTGCGCTGGAAGCACATGTTTGGGACTGGAATATAATTTCGAGACTACCGAAAATTCGACACATCTGACGTTAAATAATAATGATTAAGGAAGGAATACGCAGGGACCAAGCCTTTTTCGAGACAACCGTAAGTTTGACATATCAGAGTTCGCCACAATGGTGTTTGACTGTATGAAACTCTATCAAACACACGGAAGAGACCGTTAAAAACCCAAACAATCTTTAACAAGTTAAAAGGTTTTGGCACAGCGTAAGAGTTTTGGCAAAGTTTTTGCAACAGGGATATGAGTCCCGTAAAGATCCGGGTTAGAATTGGCCTGCAGCAACCTATGCTTGTCGTAAGAAGCCACTAACGGGATCGGGTGGTCAGGCTCGTAGACTTGGTTGATGTATCCCACTTACGTGGATCGATGCTCATGAATTGTCTGGCCCAGGCTCGATTTTCTACAGACCGCCGTGATAAACTGGAATACTGCTTAGAGCAGCGTTGAACAACAAACAAACTCAAGAAACGTTCTGCCAATGAGAAATGAGATAAAAAGGTTGCGAGAACTCATCAAATATGAGAAGTCTCTTGAGACGACTTCGTGCATCGTGCGTAAATCGTAGCACGTAGCTCAAGAAGTTTAGAGTTGACACGGGACAAAGCTCATTGAAATGACGCAGAGTTGATAAGAGTTATCAAGGATGGCTTAGAAATGCCAATGCATAAGTTCGTAGCTAATTAGGATGTTAATAAACTGGCGGTCAATAGAAAATTAACACTTGTAAATTAGATTTGACCAAAGTAATTCAAAACGTTAATAGGCAAAATAAGTAATGAAAATATTATTTTTGTCGCCGCTGAAAACAGTCTCCTAAAAACTGCAAACTTAAGGTCCAAAACACAACTATGAAACCCGCATCAAATAACCGTTTCTTGTTATTCATTTTTAGCCACCATCAAACATGGGTGTAAACTTTCTTTTGTCCGGCAGTTTAGTATTCTTGTTTTGGGGGATTAGCGTGCTGAGAATTAGATAGGAAAACATCAAGAAAAGATGCTTTGACAAAAAATGGCCTTGAGTGGGAAAGAAAATAGATTTCGTTGACCAGTCAGTTCTTCCGTCTCTAACAAAACTCCCTGAATAATAGATTGTGTAGTACGCCATCTAACCCTGTCGGTGTCAACAGATATATTGGGAGAATGCTTTACAAATTAGAGTTAGAAGCGTTGACCATTCAAGCGAAGGACCACAGAGCAGTTAACAATGTCGACAATCGAGTAGCATGATTTTAACAGGTGTTGTTGCTAGTTTGGCAAAGGCGTTTTGTTTACTTGTTTACCATGGGAGCAACTGCTCACGCATTATTACGGATGAATGTGTCCATTTGCAGAATGATGTATTATTCAGTAAGAGCTATTTGTTTGTAGGTTATGTGAAGGTGCTAAAACGCTTGTGTTGTTAATGGTCAGCTATCTATTCTATGGTGTTTGCTTGTTAGGATTTGGCTTCTAATCAGCTAAATCTCCTTTGGTGTCAACACATGGCTATTTTGTCCAATTCTCTTGACAAAGGGTGCGTTTTGTGAAGAGGTCAACGGGTACGCACTTCCATTAACGTTCCTCAACAAACGTAAAATTTTATAAAGAAGGGCTTTGTACTTCCTCGTCCTATTGGAAATCTATTTAACTATTTATTTATTATTTTGTTGTTTAACGCTACATTGAGCATTATAGCTCCATGGTGGTGGTCTGTTAAACGTCGAGTCCGTACAAGACAATCCAGTTAGTGACATCCTCAGGATCGATTTACGCAATTGGGTTACGATGACATGCATCGACAAAGTCAACGAGTCTGAACACCAGGACCCACTTGCACAAAGCGATCTTAGCGCTAAGATGATCGTAACCCCTATACTTTAACATAGGCTTACGATAGTCTTAGCGCTAAGATCGTTTTGTGCAAGTGGGTCCTAATCCCGTTAGTTGCCTCTTTCAACAAGCATAGTCGCCTCTAGACTAACATCTAGTCTCTGAAATGAACATATCGTACATAAAAAAAACCAGTTGTTCAGTTATCTTAATAAAAATATAATAAAAAGGAGCCCAGTGACTCTCTTCCTGATACTGCAGTGATCTAGACTTGCCAAACATTATAGACTTGAATGGGCTGTATTTGATATATATTTGTATCAGGGTCTGTAAGACAGACTAAGTCGCCTCTTTCAACAAGCATAGTCGACTCTTACAATAGTCGATTTGGTGTGGGGCAACTATGTCTAGTCAAACCCGCTTATCGGCACTGTTTCCAGTCCGGTTTTATACATATCCTGAAAAGGAATCTTTGTTTCGAGTAAACTCCAATGCAGATCGCAGAAAGTATTTGAAAATCAAGTCATCTACCTGCCGTAGCTCTTCTACCACATCGCTCTGTCCTGTTTACAGCTGGTGCCTGTCACGGTCCATAAGACAATTTTGACCAGATTGTAAATTTTTCAAAGGAATTTAATATGTTTGTGACACAACTTAATCCCTCTAATACTGGCAAGACACCAGGGTGCGCTGTTGCTCAAAGCGTTCTTAGCGCCAAGTTGATCGTAACTCCCATACATTAACATAGACTTACGGCAGTCGTAGCGCTAACGTTGTTTTGTGCAACGGCACCAGATCTGTTTGAGTCTAGTTATGTGGTACTGTCTTGTGCCTAGCTCGGCTACAGGTGAGGAATTCAGGTGCTGACTACCGGTCACTGACCTGCTGACAGTTTGATTACAAAACAAGGTCCTTCCTTTTGCACTGGAGTAGTGTTCAGTGAGTGTAGATGTCCCTAACAGCTCCCGGGAAAGCGGACTTACGACCAGTTACGACCGGAGTTCCACAAGGGTCAGTTCTAGGACCGCTGCTGTTCTTAATCTTCATAAACGACTTTGGAGACGATATTGATAGTAATATAAGATTGTTTGCCGATGACACATCCCTATATGTCGTGGTAAATGATCCACACACAGCAGTACATTGTCTGAATAACGATCCTCTTGAGCAGAAAACTGGCAGGTCGTTTTAACCCTAATAAAACAGAATCTATTCAATTTTCACGGAAGATTCTTCCTCATGTAAAACCATTTTTTAAAATGAGTAACACTGCATTTCAGGAAGTTCATACCCGTGAAGATCCAGGTTAGAATTGATCTTCAGCAACCCTTGGTTATCTATGGCGACTAACGGGATCGGGTTGTCAAGCTTGCTGACTTGGTTGATGCATGCATTGCGTAGATCTGGGCTCGTGATGTCATCCCTGGATTGTCTGACCCAGTTTCGAATATTTACAGACCGCCGCTATAAAGCTGGTATATTGTGAATGCGGCGTAAAACAACAAACAAAAAACCTATACTTATATTACCGTATTCGACGTAATAGGCGCCAAGGGCGTTCTCAAAATTAGAAATAGAGGGCTCTTATTAGAATTTAATTTTTGTGAAAAAATAGTTGAAATATCGTAATTGTTGTGGTTTATGCTGACAGCCTGAAATGATACAAAAGAATAGTATGTGCGTATTATACACGACAGATATTTAATATTTCCAGAATTTAATTGCCCATAATTAAGGGTGCATATAACACACGAGTATGAATTATACACGAATAAATAAGTCTCGTGTACATTGAGTATTCGGAATGGGTACTAATTAGGGTTGTTCACTAGCCAATATATCAGCAAATATCGCCGTGGGCGCTTATTAGAGTGGGGGCGCTTATTACGTCGAATACGGTGAACAACATTTGACATCTTTGAATTTGATTTACAATTAATATAATCCATAACCGGGTGACCTTTATCCCAGAACACTGAAAAATCAGATTTGTTTGCGTGTGCAAAAGTAAGACAGCTGTCCAAATAAATCGAATGAAACCTTTACTTCCAATTTAAATAGGCTGAAAACCGTCGCCGAAACACTGCGAATCTAGGTCAAAACACTATGATTCCCGTATCCAATACGTAACCATCGAATAACCATTTCTTGTTTGTTTCATTTTTAGCCGCCCTAAAATATGGGCGTTTTTATTCTCTTTGGTCTACAGTTTATAAATCTTGAGTGAGTGAATTGGGTTTAACACCGTTTTCTACAGAATTCCATTTATATAACGGCGTAAATCGAATGAAACCTTTACTTCCAATTTGAGTGAGTGACCATGGTTTTGCGCCGGTTTTAGGGGGTGGACACACCAGAAATGGACTTCACACATTGTACCGATATGGGGAATCGAACCCGTGGCTTCGGCGTGACGGGCGAACGCTTAAACTACTAGGCTACCCAATCGGCCTGCTTCCAATTTGAAAAATCTACTCGGAAACACGCGCAGTAGGTTGGTTACATTTCTGAGGACAGTCGACACAATCGCCTAAAGAAAGTATAAATTCAATTTAGAAAGTGAGTGTGTTGGCTTGAACAATATTACAGTTATATCTCAACTCCGACGAAACGCTCAGGTTTCACGGTGCTGGCAAATCAAGGATCAAAATCGTAGCGAAACTGATTATCATATCTGGATCCTGTAACGGTGAAGGGACGCAACTCAAAAATGCAACTTGCAACGTAATAGACATCTGACCCACCCTGCCTCTGAACAGAAGATAGTCTGGTCCTGACTCGATTATTTACAGACCGCCGTCATACAGTTGGAATACTGATGTGTGCAGGGGTAAACAACAAACAAACAGTACAAACGTTCTGCCATCAAAACACCATCTGAACCGGAATAAACAACTGAAATTGATGCCCATTTAAGAGAAAAAGAAAAGAGACGAACGAGGAGAAACGCAAAGGGGGCCTTCGTCTCCCCCTGTCGTTCAAAAGTAAGAGTTACTTAAGTGAGTAATTCAAGTTACTGTATTCAGTGGAGTAACAGTTACTGTGATAAAAGAATAGAGAGTGGCGTTAAAAAGATAAACAGACAAACATACAAACAAAACGTAACAGAGAAGGACAAGACGTAATGTACGTTGTGAGGCATCGAGATATAGCAACATGACATGGGCCTCGTTGCACCAAGCGATCTTAGCGCTACGATTATCGTAAGTCTATGTTAAAGCTAAGATTGCTTTGGGGCCATGGCTTTTCGATAGAGCCTGATTAACTTACCTGTTCACACATCAGAGTTGACCTGAAGTTCGTGTGCGATCTGAACTTGGTGAGCTGGTCTTCGATATTATTTCTCAGCCTCCTCATCCTCTCGCCATACCGATCATACACCATGTCAGCCACGACCCAGGACCAGTGGAAGGGGGTGATAGCGTCTGCAAGTAAAGGGGACATGGTTTAATAGCCTGAATTACAGAACCTGAAACAATATATCCAATACAGCCTAAACAAGCAGCCCAACTATAACAACTGGCAAGTGTACAGTTTCTGACAAGGTGAGGTGAGGTGAAATTGGGTTTAACGTCGCGTCCAAGATTATTGCACTTATATAGCGACGTGCATGCACGTGTGTGTGTTTGTGTGTGTGAGGCTGCTTGTACTAGTCCGGACTGATGCCGATTTATAGTGCTAGCCCACTGAGATACCATGCCGCAGTTTAACATGAATACCCCACTCAGACACAGTATACTGACTCCGAGCCGACCAGTCCTTGTTTTAGCCCCTTAATGCCGAGCGCCAGACAGGGTAACAACAAGTACCATCTTTTAACGCCTTTTTGGTATGACGCGGCCGGGGATCGAACCCCGGACCTTCCGCTCTCCGGGCGGACACAGTTTCTGACAATGAAGACTGGATGTTAGTGTGGCCGATGTAGTTTTTGTATATATTTGTTTTAATTTCATTTTAGGTTTTTACGTATATTTATTATATATAACTAGTTGTCCGTTACAGTCAGCTATAACAAAGTGTATCTGACCTGTCTTACCAACTAACTGCCCCATGGCCAGAAGCTTCATTTGCTGATTGGCCAAGCTAACACCTATTGTTAAACTGCATGCTTTGATTACACTGCATACTCTCTCAGCACATAAACTGACAGAACTGCTCAGACCAGCAAGGGGCGGTCGGGTTGCCTAGTGGTTAAAGCGTTCGCTCGTCACGCCGAAGACCCGGGTTCGATTCCCGACATGGGTACAATGTGTGAAGCCCATTTCTGGTGTCCCCCGCCGTGATATTGCTGGAATATTGCTAAAAGCGGCGTTAAACCATACTCACTCACTCAGACCAGCAAAGGATAAAGAGACAATATTAAATCAGGTGAGTTAAATGGTTATAATCTCTATCTTGTGTTGTATTTAAATAATACAGTATGTTCAAAGTGTTATATGAAGTAAACTAAATGTATGTAATCTAACATAAATGTTGATTATGTCTAAATATTTAAATCTGCATAAGATAAGCTAAACACCCATACTTTATCACTAAAATGTATTCTATCACTTCAATGAAATATGTGTGAAAGTGTTTTACCTCAAGAGTGTTTTAATAAGCTTTGTAATGTAGAGATTCAGATGTGATACAATGCAAATCATTGTAAATAAAATGTGTGTATTACTTTGTTCAATATATTAAATGTTAAATAGTGTTTTAGTCTATGTATTGTTTATTCAGATAATCTATGGTGTTGCCATACGTGTGGCAGTTGGGATCCACACCCTTGTATCACCCACAGGGTATGCATTGTGTTATTTATATTTGTCTAAGACTTACAATGTAATCTAATTGTGATGACCACATTTTATGTAAGATCATATCATTAATTTCTGTCTTAAAGTATTGTATATGTTTATGCAGAATGTGTAAGCGTTATGCATTTATATTATGTATATATATTTTGTATATATTATAGTCAAATGAAAGTCAAGGAGTTATCTCCCTTGAATGTCGGTATTGTTGATCATGTACATACTGTATATGTTCTAGTATAATCGTTTAAGGTTCAGTCTATCTTGTGTTTAATGGATGACTAATATATGTAAATAATTACTTATAATAAGCCTATGCTATGTATCTAGCATTAATGATAATGTTTTACTTAGTATTTATTGTGTTATTATGTGTTTCAGGGTGTATGATATATAGATCCTTGATCACACTCAACGCATCGCAATAAAGACCTCAACCCCGTAGTATGTGTTTGTTCGCTCTAAAAAGACATTCACTAAACTGCTACAAAATGGAGCCCCCAGTGAGGATCTTGCAGAAGGATGCTTGTGTGAGCCACTACGTGGGATGTGCACCTATTCATTCTTGGAGGGTCCGGGTCTGTCAGTTCGTCCACTCATCATGTGCTCTACGGTATTTGAGAGTTACTTGTGTAATGACTTGATGTTCAGTCATGACCATGTGTCGTATGCTGTATCGCATACTGTGACAGTTTGTCTGCATAAACTGAATTCTAAAGACATTTGAAGTTTGATAAATTCTAATTAATTATATATTACTCATATCTATATGATGTAATTTTTCATCTTTGACTTGTTTGATATTTGTCATAGATATTTTGCTGTATTAACACAGCATTTAAAGCTAATGATAAGCTGTGTTTACTGATTTGATATCAGTCATGTAGGACATGTACATTGTTCTTTCTGTTATACTTTCAATATATTAGGTCTTGAGTGTAAATATTTTCTTGCTTGCGTCATACATGTAGTTGTAATATATTTTGCTCCAGCCACGTTGGTACCAACTCTTTCAACACTTGTGTAATTTAGCTTTAGTAGCTGTGTATTGTTATTGCATATTTTTATATTTTCTGGCCAGATAAATTAGCTATCATGTAGTCTTTGACAATTATTTATTTTATCTTATTCCTTGGTGATCACCATTAGTTATCTTTAGCGTTTCGAATCCGGATTACCCCTTTTATGTTTCTAGGTTTGTCAGCACCATGTCCCTGTGTCAATGGGTTTCACCAAAGTGGTAACTGTCTGAGACCTGCATCACTTGTGGTTATTCCCCCACATTAAGCTGATACGCTGTGATATAACTTGAATACTGTTGATAACGGCGTTGAACCCAAGTCAGTCACTCTTTAGTTACTCTTTAGTTACTCTTAGTTACTCTTAGTTATTTTAGTTTTCTGAGTTCATGTGTGCATTGCTGTTTGTGTATCACTATAAGTACATCTACATACCCTGAGTATTGTAATACTGCATTAGTTTAGTGAGTTCCCAGTTATGATAATGTGAGTATGAGCGTGTGATTTATTGCTTTCATTTTTTTCTGTTAAATAAACCTTTAAATAATAAAGCATAAATAGGTATTTATTAAAATGTAATCATGTAAGTGTTCATGTTCTGACAGTCTGACGACAGACTCAGTAAGCACTACTTTACTGCACTGTTACTAACACATTCCCTATACCCATGTCGTATTGTGTTGTCTTGTATTTCTGTTTTGTTTCTACATTTAACCAACATGAATTAGTCCTATTTGGTAAGAAAGTCTAACTTGTCAGTTATCCAACTGCAACCGTTTTCTTTCCACGTGTATTGTTATTACCCATAATAACAACTGCATTTATCTCGCCCTAGCTATATCTTCTTTCGGGTGTTACATCACGTGGTCATAACTACATAAGTCATCATGTGACTATAGTATATACAGTTTTGTTCGTTTGACGGTTTACACATCAGACTTGTGTTATCTTTCACACGATTTGACGGTTTACACATTTGATTTGTGTCTTCTTTCATACGATCCATTCATTTGTTTTTGTGTATATGATATACTCGTGGTCTTCCCGGAGCACTCTCACTGATTTCTTTCTTTAACCATGGAACTCGGAGAGGAAGAATTGAAGAGCTTACTTACAGTCTTTGCCAAGATGGGGATGTCTCCTAAGGTTGACACCCCTGAGGACCTTAAGACTTGGATTTCAGGTGTCGCACAACAGGAAGGTCCACTTGTGTTAGAGTCTGGAGCGGCTGCACAGACTGATTTCAAGCCTAATACCATGTCAGGGACTGGTATACCACAGCCTCCTGTCGCAACTTATCATCATTTCCCTAAGTTACCTTTCTTTAGCGGCGAATCAGGCAAGGATACTCTATATGACCTATGGAGATATGAGGTTGATTGTATCCTACAGTCGGGAACACATACACCTGATATTATATTGCAGGCTATCCGGAAGTCATTGAAGGGTGAAGCTGCTTTGATTGCCATGAAGCTTGGTCACACAGCTCATATTGATGAACTTCTGGCAAAGATTAGGTCTGCTTTTGGGACACTTAGGAGGCGAGAGACTCTTATGTCAGAGTTCTACGGTGCCACTCAAGGGGAGAATGAAGACGTCTCTGCATGGGGTTGCCGACTGGAGAATCTCATTTATCAGATTTCTTCACAGCGTTCACTCAGTTTGAGTGAACAGGACGATATGTTGAGAAGCAAGATGTGGGATGGACTTAAGCCTGCTTTGAAGAGTTTAGCTGCCCACAAATATGATGTCATCACTCATTTTGATGAGCTCCGTTTGTGCTTGAGGGAGATCGAGTTTGACCTGGACCGTGGAAAGTCAGATGTGCTGAAGAACAAGAAGTCTGCGACTGTGAAGATGGCTTCTGCCTCTGAATCTTCTGCACCTGCTACGAGGAAGGAAGTGTTAGACTTGCAGGCCAGGATGAAAGAGATCAAGACAGAGTTAGCAGAGTTGAAGGAACATCATCAACAATCAGCACAGGTGTTCCAGCAATACCGTTCTCCCAGTGCTCAAGGATCTTGGAACTCTTGGAAGGGGAGTAAACAGACTGGTCCTTATGACACTCAGACATCAGGTGGTTTCAATCAGCCAGGATAACTACCCAGAAACCATACCCATCTCAACAAGTGCCTTTACGTCAACACCCTCTACCACCTCAGCCTGCACCTGTACCTCCTTCTATGCCACAAGGATACCGAAGACATGGACAGGACTCCATCGAGAGCCTCCTACATGCTTCAGATGTCCTGGACATATTGCTATAGGCTGCCGTGTTCGACTGGACCACTTAAGGCGTCCTTTAAACTTGGACAGGCCTATGGGAAGGGGTCACCCCTAGGCTCATTCAGACACCCCACATCAAGTAAGGTACCGGATGAGTTAATAGGTCATGCAAATGAGGTCAACATAGTAATTGAAGGTGTGCCTGTCAATGCTTTGCTTGACACTGGGGCCACTGTTTCAATTATTTCTGAATCTTTTTACAGGGAACATTTGCATACTATTCCTATTGAACCTCTCTGTGGTATCTTAGACATAGAGTGTGCTGGAGGAAAACAACTTCCTTATCTTGGATATGTGAGAGTAGGTGTGTCCATTACAGGAGGAGGAGTCAATGACGGGGATCCTGTATCTTGTTTATTACTGGTAGTCCCTGATACAAGATACAATTCAAGAGTTCCAGCGCTTCTTGGAACAAATGTGTTGAGCTGTTTGCTTGAGGACTGCAGGACAATCCATGGACAAAGGTTTCTCCAGAAAGCCGCCTTACACACTCCTTGGTATCTGGCTTACAGGACCATAGTGTTACGTGATAAGGAACTTGCAAGGAATGGAAGTTGTCTTGGCTTGGTAAAGAGTACAGAGGACAAGAGTTTAATCATCCCTCCTAACAGCAACATTAAGATTAAAGGACGGGTCACCAAGGGAATGACATCCCCAGCGGTGTGTGCTCTGTTACAGCCAACAGCACATGCTTCATTACCAGATGACCTTGACATTGCCCCTACTCTAATCACTTATGACAGCTCAAGGCGAGACACAGTTGATGTTCACATCTCCAACATAACAATGCGGACAGTTGTCATTCCTCCTAGAGCATTGTTGTGTGAAGTACAGCCTGTTACTATACAGAAGCCTCCCACTGGTCAACCTGTTGAACCAGAGGATCTTATGGATCAAGTGGAGATTGACAAGACAGATCTGACTAGACTGCAGTTAGGACAAGGACTTGATGTCATTATGCGTTTTGCTGACATATTCCCCAAGCATGATGAGGATATTGGACACAGTAGCATGGTGCATCACAGGATTGATTTAGTTGATGACACTCCATTCAAACAGCGACACAGAAGAATACCACCATCCATGTATGATGAAGTCCAGAACCATCTACAAATTCTTTTGTCAGCTGGAATCATCAGGAAGTCTCACAGTCCTTGGGCGTCTAATGTAGTCTTAGTTCGCAAAGGCAATGGACAGCTGAGGATCTGTATAGATTATCGCGAACTTAACAATCGGACCATAAAGGACTCATATGCTCTGCCGCGGATTGAGGAATTATTAGACTGTTTGGGAGGTAATAAATTCTTCTCCGTCTTGGACATGAAGAGCGGATATCATCAAGTTGAGGTCGAAGAAGACCATAAACAACGGACAGCTTTCACTGTAGGACCTCTTGGATTTTTTTAATATAATCGGATGCCATTTGGACTCTCAAATGCGCCAGCGACATATCAACGCCTTATGGAGCAGTGCCTGGAAGGTCTACATCTTAATATATGTCTCATATATCTTGATGACCTGATAATATTTTCCAGAACCTATGAAGAGCATGTAGAGAGACTACAGCTTGTGTTTCGGAGACTTCAGGAATGTGGCTTAAAACTTGCAGCAAAGAAGTGTAAGTTCTTCAAGAGGAAAGTCAGATATGTTGGATATATCGTCTCAGAACACGGATCCAGAGAAACTTGACAAAGTCAAGAACTGGCCTAGACCTACCACACCAGAAGAAGTCAGAAAATTTCTTGGGTTTGCCGGCTACTACCGGAAGTTTATTAAGGATTTTTCCAAGATAGCGAAACCTTTATCAGAACTGATGCCCAAGTCTGCTTCAAAGAAACCACGACGACCACCCACAGATGTCAAATGGATATGGGATGAAGATCAGGAGAATGCCTTCACTGAACTGAAGAATCATCTCTCCACCCCACCAGTACTTGGATACGCTGACTACTCAAAGCCATTTGAACTACACACAGATGCCAGTGGTCATGGATTGGGTGCAGTGCTGTATCAACATCAGGAAGGGAAGTCACGGGTCATTGCCTATGCAAGTAGAGGACTAAGCCGATCTGAGAGAAACTACTCAGCACACAAGCTTGAATTCTTGTGCCTGAAGTGGGCTATCTCGGAGAAGTTCCACGACTACTTGTATGGACATGACTTTTTGGTCGTCAACGACAACAACCCTTTGACCTATGTGTTAACAAGTGCTCGACTGGATGCAGCTGGACATCGATGGCTAGCGTCTCTATCCAGTTATAATTTTAGCCTCAAGTATCGACCTGGAAAAGCCAATACTGATGCTGATGCTCTGTCACGTCTACCAGAGAAGAACACAGATGAAATGGAACAGATTTCAAGGGATTCTTTTGAAGCCATATGTAACTCTGTACATATCACCAACTTAGTGGAAAGTTTGTGTCTATCCACTGATGTTGTAGATCATGAAGATCTGGATTTGACGGGTGACAGATGTGACCAGAATGCCAGGGATTGGAGACACACACAAGCGAAAGACCAATTACTTGTGGAGATCATAGACCACTTGCGGAATGGGACGAGACCAGACAGAACTCAGTTTCTACGGGACCAAGAGATGACTACTCTGCTTAAAAGCTACAAACAGTTCAAGCTCAAAAGAGGAGTTTTATACAGAGTCACCAATGTCAATGGAGCTGATCACGACCAGTTGGTTCTTCCATCTAGATGTCGCACTGCGGCTATGAGGAGTTTACACGACAATGTTGGACATCCTGGCAGAGACAGGACAATGTCACTATTGAGAGATAGATTCTACTGGCCAGGAATGTCTCGTGATGTTGAAACTCACCTGCATAATTGCGAGAGATGTTTGAAGAGAAAAACACCAACCAACATCAGAGCCCCATTGATAAGTATTGAGACAACAGAACCTTTGGAACTTGTTTGCATGGATTTTCTCACCTTAGAACCATCAAAAGGAGGAGTAGAACATGTTTTGGTTGTGACCGACCACTTTACTCGTTATGCACAAGCATACCCAACCAAGAACATGACTGCTAAGACAACAGCTGAGACTTTCTTTTCGAACTTCATAGTTCATTACGGTCTACCAAAGAGAACTCACTCGGATCAGGGAGCTAACTTCACCAGCAAGATAATGCAAGAGTTATGCCAGTTACTGAACATCGACAAGTCCCGCACAACACCTTACCATCCAATACGATTTAATCGTACCCTATGCGACATGCTTGGCACTCTTGATCAGGACAGGAAGAAGAATTGGAAGGCTCATGTTGGACCACTCGTCCATGCCTACAACTGTACCCGCCACGAATCAACATCAACAGCTCCATTCTATTTGATGTTCGGGAGACACCCTAGACTACCTGTGGATTTAGCTTTTGGCTTGGACATAGAGACACAAGGTACCAAGTCCACCACCGAGTACACCAAGTCATTGAAAGATCGCCTCAGACAAGCCTATGAGCTAGCTACTACAGCAGCAATGAAATCACAATCCAAGCAGAAGATTGGCTATGATCACAGAGCCAGAGCAGCCATGTTAGAGCCAGGAGACCGGGTCTTAGTGAAGATCGTTGCCTTTGAAGGTAGACATAAGTTAGCTGACAAGTGGGAGGAAGATGTTTATGTCGTGCTACGCCGACCCAACCAGTCTTTGAAGTTGGTAAGGAAAATGGTGAGGAGCGGAAGAGAATTTTGCATCGTAACCTCCTGCTGCCAGTTGGTTCTATGCCTAGCCTTGGTGTGCCAATACCCAAACCAAGACGACAGAGGACACTGCCAGTAGCACCAGTTGCTAGGACAACAGAAAGCAACGACGATGTTTCATCGGATGAGGATACTGTTGTTGAGTATGCCCACCCTCCACAAGCTTCAGTGTCCACTGATATACCAGTGGATGGGCCAACTGAAGAGGAACCATCAGAGACTGTATCTGAAGGAGATGGAACTCCTATTGCAGAGGGGGAGGAAGAGCCAACTGAGGATGCTGTTCAGCATGTTGAGCAGATTCGTGAAGAAGATGGCGCTACTGGGACAGATCATGATGATGACAATGACAATGAAGAAAGAGAGCAACAGCCAACTCCAGAGATAACCACTCCTGTTCCACGTCCACGGCAGTCTACTCGGACCCGGACACAGCCGAAATGGATGAAGAGTGGAGAGTTTGCTCTCTCTGCAGTTGCAGATCGGGACTGGCGTACGCGAGCCAACTATCTCAGCTCACTTCAAGCTGACGGATTGTTCCGAGAACAGCAGCACCGACTTTCTGATGCCATCTTGGATCTTGTCACTGGCAAGGTAAAGTGACGTGGACGTCATTTTTTGATGGAGGGAAGTATGTGGCCTATGTAGTTTTTGTATATATTTGTTTTAATTTCATTTTAGGTTTTTACGTATATTTATTATATATAACTAGTTGTCCGTTACAGTCAGCTATAACAAAGTGTATCTGACCTGTCTTACCTACTAACTGCCCCATGGCCAGAAGCTTCATTTGCTGATTGGCCAAGCTAACACCTATTGTTAAACTGCATGCTTTGATTACACTGCATACTCTCTCAGCACATAAACTGACAGAACTGCTCAGACCAGCAAAGGATAAAGAGACAATATTAAATCAGGTGAGTTAAATGGTTATAATCTCTATCTTGTGTTGTATTTAAATAATACAGTATGTTCAAAGTGTTATATGAAGTAAACTAAATGTATGTAATCTAACATAAATGTTGATTATGTCTAAATATTTAAATCTGCATAAGATAAGCTAAACACCCATACTTTATCACTAAAATGTATTCTATCACTTCAATGAAATATGTGTGAAAGTGTTTTACCTCAAGAGTGTTTTAATAAGCTTTGTAATGTAGAGATTCAGATGTGATACAATGCAAATCATTGTAAATAAAATGTGTGTATTACTTTGTTCAATATATTAAATGTTAAATAGTGTTTTAGTCTATGTATTGTTTATTCAGATAATCTATGGTGTTGCCATACGTGTGGCAGTTGGGATCCACACCCTTGTATCACCCACAGGGTATGCATTGTGTTATTTATATTTGTCTAAGACTTACAATGTAATCTAATTGTGATGACCACATTTTATGTAAGATCATATCATTAATTTCTGTCTTAAAGTATTGTATATGTTTATGCAGAATGTGTAAGCGTTATGCATTTATATTATGTATATATATTTTGTATATATTATAGTCAAATGAAAGTCAAGGAGTTATCTCCCTTGAATGTCGGTATTGTTGATCATGTACATACTGTATATGTTCTAGTATAATCGTTTAAGGTTCAGTCTATCTTGTGTTTAATGGATGACTAATATATGTAAATAATTACTTATAATAAGCCTTTGCTATGTATCTAGCATTAATGATAATGTTTTACTTAGTATTTATTGTGTTATTATGTGTTTCAGGGTGTATGATATATAGATCCTTGATCACACTCAACGCATCGCAATAAAGACCTCAACCCCGTAGTATGTGTTTGTTCGCTCTAAAAAGACATTCACTAAACTGCTACATTAGTATAGTTGTTAAACAACGCAATCTCAGTGTTCCAGCTACAGTAAACTACGCTTATACAGAACTCAAATGGACCACTAATTTTAGTTCGTTATAACCGTAGTTCGTTATAAACATTTAAACAACGTCTATACAGCAAATGGCCGGGACCAAAAACTAAGTTCGCCATATCCGTCAGGTCGTTATAAGCGTGTTCGTTATAAACGTATTTTACTTATATGACGACGGTCTGTAAATAATCGAGTCTGGGCCAGACACTGACTGACATCATGATCCACGTAATTGTAAAACATATGCCGACTTATTTCCTTGAAATTCATACTTGCAATGACACAAAAACAATACACCAACAATAAGTCCAACGGAACTGTACACCACTAACTTGTACACCACTGAACTGTACACCACAAAACTGTACTTCACTGAACTGAATGGATTTGATTCTGATTTATCGTCACTGAAACTTTTCATTGTATGAAAACTATTTGGTTATGTTTCACATCACCATTTATGAAATCCTCAACAAAGAATATTTTTGTCATCTGTATGCACTCAAAGACTCAGCATTGTGTTTTAAATCAATATAGCATAACAAGACCTGTAAACGTTTTACACTGTTTTGTTTGTTTTTTTACCCGCAGTCAGCATTATCTATGCTATATAACGGCAGCTGTAGATACGCGAGTTTGATAAGGCAATCAGGGATTGGTATAGCATGATCCCCCAACGCTGCTTGGTTACAATCATCGGATGATGATGATGATGATGATGATGAAGATGATGATGATGATGGCAGTTGAGTCCCAGACAATTTTTGCGGTAAAATTATCAAAATTCAACTAATTACCCTAAGTCTGACATAGAAAACATAACAATGCTCACCGCAAGAGTGAACACAAACTCATTTTTACAAATTCTTCACAGCTTTTCATTGCAGCGTGTCGGAACTGTGCAAGCAGTGTGTTGTAAAGTAGTGTTCCTGTTCCCATAGAATGCCCGTGACTCTAAACAAATAACCTATTTAAAATAGTTTAATCAAGGAAACGACGTACGAAGGATCAAAAGCCCATAATGTAGGCAATGAAGGTTTCATTATAGTACTTGCCTTTGTTGTTTTTTAGTTCAAAGGTTTCAGACAATTGTGAGAAGTGCCTTGATGATTTTCTTGTTGACATTTCGAACTTGTCATCAAATAACGTCAAATACAATTTGGAATTATTGTGAAGAATAGAATGAATATATGTAGATCCCTTACAATAAAATCTATGAAAAAATCAATATACATTATTATAAAATATCAAAGCAAGAGAAGAACCAGTATCAATTATTGGACGAAACAGATTCCATCAGGCATAAAAGCCGAAAGAGTTGTGAAAAACACATGAATTGAATTGATCCCTCAACGTCAAGAAACCATGTCCTGCCCTACTGGTCGCAATAGGCATAACTTATTTTATTACTTGCCCGTGAAGAGATCACCCGTTTAATAAACATATAACTGTATTACACATTGTGTAATACCAAAACGCGTGCTTATGTACTCTCGGAACACGTTTCACGAACAAATATTGAAAGCTTTTAACACCCCTTGGCTTATTCAACGGCTTTGCGTGTTGAGATGATAGATCATTGAGAGGAGCTTATGCACATTCGACGACCCCAGCAACCTTGTTGCTAGGCTGACGTCACATGGCATTGTTTCGCCTATGGATCTTGCAACAAAATTCCACAAATTACGTCATCAGCTTTTGTGACATGATTGTAAACTTTGAGGTGCAAGGCCCCGTTCCACAAGGCGATCGTATTGTCGCGCAGCGACAGTCGTTAGTCTAAGTTAAAGTATCATGTGAATTGCGATAAGCTTTGCGCTACGATAATTTTGTGGAACGGACGCCTGAATTCTAAATGAAATCATGAAAGACGCTAGAAGAGAGTGTAAGACGTGTCTATATGTCAACGGGCAGTTGTACTAGCCTCAGGCATAGGAACACGTAGAGGATGGACTTAAAGTTCTAGTATGGAACTGCAATGGTCTCACCGCTACCAAAAAAACGGTCGATAGAATTTTGTGAAATGCTAGATAATTATGATATAGTGGCTCTATCGGAAACATGGACTGGTGATCGTGGTGACGTAGAATTGCAAAATTTTAACACTTTAGTGTATTCCATTCCATATAAAATATGTGCATAAAAGAGCTAAACGTAAAAGTGCTGGTATACTCCTATATGTACGGATATCATTCTCAAAAGCTGTAAGTTAGTGTTATTAGAAATGATTTTGACACATTAATATGGCTTAAATTAGAAAAAAAACCTTTTTTTTCCTTTGGAACGGGACTTATAGTGTGTGTTGTATATATACTGAACAACAAAAGTTCCTGTGACATTGAAAAAGATTTAATGCAAAGTTATGTTTTTTACCAAGTACGAAACAATTTCGGTTTACAACAAATAAAAGACTCCTGTAAGTGTTCAAATGGTTTAATTTGCCATACTGAATTGCAAATGCGTGATTTCATATAAAAATCCATGAACATGCCAAAATGTCAATTTACAAATCAATAGCGTGTGTGTCCACCTCTAGTTGCGATGCAAGCAACACAACTTCGTCTCATGGAATGGACCAGGCGTCGCACAAAGTCCTGTGGGATATCTGTCCATATCTGCTGGAGCATGTTTCGAAGTTCCTTGAGTGTCTGTGGAACACGTGGTTGACGTCGATCTATCTCATCCCACATGTGCTCAATTGGTGAGAGATCAGGGGAGCGAGGCGGCCAGGGGATGACATTCACGTTGTTTTGTTGAAGAGAATCCTGAACAAGTCGAGGAATATGAGGCCGGCGTTGTCATGTAGAAAGGTAATGCCTGGGCCGTGACGACGCAAAAACGGTAGAACAACAGGGCCGATGATCTCGTCGCGGTAGCGCTGTCCATTGAGATTTCCCTCTACCACTATCAAACGGGTCCTCTGTCTTGCTGTAATCCCACCCCATACCATAACGCTGCCGCCCCCGAACCGATCTTCGTCCATGACACAATGATTGACGTAACGTTCACCTCGACGTCGGTACACTCGAATCCGTCCATCGCTATGGCTGAGGTGAAAACGAGACTCGTCAGTGAATAGAACTTGTCCCAAATGCATGGCCGTCCAGCGTAGACGCTGTCTGCACCAGTGTAGACGTGCTTGACGGTGGTTTCCTGTCAAAATGGGGCGTCTGGCGACAATCCCTGCACATCTGAGGCGACGACGTACGGTTTGTGAAGATATTCGTCAAAGGCCAGGGATGCTTCTTGCAGTCACTGTTGCTGGCTGGAATCGATTTCGTAGGGGTGTTGTTCGAATCCAGTTGTCTTGTCGATTATTAGTTACGCGTGGCCTGCCACTCCGAGGATGGTCTCTGACTGCATTCGTCTGTTGCCAAGGTTGCCATAAACACCAAATGGTGTTTCTGTGGACGTTAAATTGTCTTGCAACATCACGTTGACTCGATCCTGATTCAAACATACCAATGGCTCGCAGACGCTCATTTTCGGACAGGCGTGGCCTTTCATAATGTTGAATAATTGCGTAATTGTGTTGTTTTTCTGAGTGGTTGTTGTCAGCACGATGCTAAACAATGCATATGGAATCCCGTTAACGCACATGTTTTTATACCCATTCTTGGGTAGTGAAATGCATGGGGCTTGCATAAAAGTCAACTTTTGCATGGAATGCATGCTTTTCTTGTGACTTGATTCCATACATGTACTACAATATTAAAAACCAAACTTTCTATGTTTGAAAAATACACTAAAATATTGGTGTCACAGGAACTTTTGTTGTTGAGTATATATGGCCTGAAAATTCAGTTATGTACAATGTGCATAACGTAGATTTGTTTGACATTATTTTACAGGGATTTAAAACGTTTAAATCTGAAAATGAGATTGTGTTTATTGGAGACTTAAACTCAAAAGTGGGACTTAGATCTGATTACGTGGAACAGGACTTTTTCTCAAGATATACACAAGCCGATGATTATTCTGTTGATAACTCTCTCGATAAATCTTCTATGGATAAGCCAGTGAAGAGCTTTGGATTTCAACTTTTAGACTTGTGTCGTTCAACTGGTCTACGAATAGCAAATGGACATTTGCGCAATGATATTAGAGGGAAATATACTTATCAAAGTAGCAACGGGATGTCTGTTGTAGACTATTTGCTTTTTAAAAGAATGCAACTTTGAACTGGTATCTAATTTTGAAATTCTTGGCTTTACACCATACAGTGACCATGCCCCCATTGCTATTATATTGAAGTGTGGGACAGATCAGAGAATACCTACAACATATTCACGGGATGAATATGTGGCACACAAATGGGACGACAGCTATAATGAAATATATAAGAAAGATTTCATGAATCATATAGACCACATAGCAGAAACTATTATTTACTGTTGTGAAGAAAATATTGAAGAAATTGTTGCAAATATGAGTGACATCCTGCTGAAAACTGCAAACCGTTATACGGAAAGGAGAAGGTGGACTGTCAGAGGTCAAACTCGCTTTAACGGTAGCTATACTAAATCATCACCTTGGTTAGACAAAATCTGTGTTTCGAGTAAGGGGGATTACATAAGTGCCTTAGAGTGTTTCAATAGGATCATGTCAGAAATAAATAGGGTCCGATCGACATTCGAAAAAGAGGAAATATAAGACGATTGTACAGAGAAAGACAAATATTTACAATAATAATAATAAATCTAAACAAATTGAGCAATTGCGTTGGCGACATCCTAAGGACTTTTGGAATGTTTTTAAAGCTAAAAGATCATTCAATCTGGGAAACCAGTTAGCAGCCAGTGACTTTGCAAAATATTTTAAAACTATGACTACTAAGTTTGAAAGATTTACTCAGCCGGATGTAGAAAAACAAGTTAATGAAGACAGAAACAACAACAACAACC